CGCCGCCGCCACCGCCGCACCAGGAGCTGCCCCCCGCCGCCCGGCCCACCATGGTGCCCAGCATGGCCTCGCTGCTGGACGGCTCCTCCGAGTACCGGCCCGAGCTCTCCATCCCGCTGCACCACGCCATGAGCGTGCCCTGCGAAGCCTCGCCGCCCGGCATGGGCATGAGCGGCACCTACACCACGCTGACACCGCTCCAGCCCCTGCCGCCCATCTCCGCCGTCTCCGACAAGTTCCACCACCCGCACGCCCATCCGCACGCCCACCACCATCACCACCACCACCACCAGCGCCTGCCGGGCAGCGCCGGCGGCGGCTTCGCGCTCATGCGGGACGAACGCGGATTGCCGGCCGTCAACAGCCTCTACGGGCCCTACAAGGAGGTACCGGCCGTGGGGCAGAGCCTCTCGCCGCTGGGCAACGGGCTGGGCCCGCTCCCYGGCGCCCAGCAGGGCCTGCACGGCTACGGGCCGCCCGGCCACGACAAGATGCTGAGCCCCAACTTCGAGGCGCACGCGGCGATGCTGGCGCGGGGAGAGCAGCACCTGCCCCGGGGGCTGGGAACACCCCCGGCCATGCTGCCGCCCCTGAACGGCGCGCATCACCCCGCGCCCCCCGGGCCGCCGCCGCCGCCGCACGGCCCCGCGCTGCCCGCCGGCCGGGAGCGGCCGCCCCCCGCCACCGGCCCGCAGGGGAGCGGCTCGGGGCAGCTGGAGGAGATCAACACCAAGGAGGTGGCACAAAGGATCACGGCGGAGCTGAAGCGCTACAGCATTCCCCAGGCCATCTTCGCYCAGCGGGTGCTGTGCCGCTCCCAGGGGACCCTGTCGGACTTGCTGCGGAACCCCAAGCCTTGGAGTAAACTCAAGTCCGGCCGGGAGACGTTCCGCAGGATGTGGAAGTGGCTGCAGGAGCCGGAGTTCCAGAGGATGTCGGCCCTGAGGCTGGCAGGTAAGTGCCTGCCGGTGTCCCTAAGGGAACTGATCGCGACCCCCGAGCCCAGCGCCGTCCGGCCGGCCCCGCAGGGGATCGACCCTCGCCGTTTCCCCGCTCCCCCGTGAAGCTCGGGGCTGTGCGGGCCGGCCGGTGTCCGCCTCCCGCAGCGCCGGTACCGCTCAGTCCGGCTGGGCTGTGCGGGGCTCGGGGCCGGCGGAGGGGCTCGAGGCCGGGGTGCTTTCCAGGGCCTCCAGGGTGCTGAAGGTGCGCGCCTCGCACCGCCCCGCGCTCTCCGCGAGCATCCCTCCTGCCGCTCCCGGCGCTGGCGGGCGCACAGGGCGAGGCCGTGCGGGGTCCCCGCGTCCCGGGACTGGCGGGCTCGGTGGGAACGGGCGGGGGCCGGACCCCGCGCAGCCCCCGCAGCCCCGGACCGGCCGCATTGTCCGCGGAGGGCCCGCGGGCGCCCTCTGGCGCGGCCACGGAGCGCCGCAGCCCCCATTGTTCTGCGGGGGCCGCGGGGGGGGCGGCGGGCAGCGACCCCCGGTACCGACCCCCGGTACCGATCCCCGCACCGAGCCCCGGCAGCGCCCGCACCGGGTGGACACACCACCGGGAACCGCGCGGCCCTGGATGTGGGTGGAGAGGGACACGGAGGGCTGTGGCATGGGGAGGCACGCGTGGGACAGACCGCAGTGTGGGGCGGGGGTCGGGGYCGGTCGCTCTGACAGCGACGACAATCCGGGATATTTGTGCCACTGGGTCCGTTTTTCTTTTATTTCGATTGATCACGCCGCAGGCAGGTCCGTCCCCAGTGGGCAGGTACACGGCGGCATGTCCCCAGGGCTGCCCGCTCTGCTGGCTGAGGGGACAGGGGGTCTCTGCCGTGGGGAAATGGGCGCAAAGYCCCCGTACGAGGGGCTGGGATGCGGCGGAGCGGGGCAAAAAGGAGCCGTAAATGATTGATGGCCGTAATTCCCCTGACAGAGRTGCCGCGGGTTAAACATCCACGGCCTGGGGGCTCCAGAAGCTCCGCGRAGGGTGCTCGGGCTTTCCCGAGGTGCGGTGTCCCCGCTGGGACAGGGATGTTGATCCCCTCCTCGGCTCGAGCAGCGACTGCAAACTCCTTCYGTCCCTTCCAGCACCCGCGGGCATCATTTGGCTCTGTTTGTAGCCAAATGAAGGTGCCGAGGTCTGCGAGACAGGGGCATCGGAGGGACACAAGGGGTTTGGGTTTTTTGCCGAGCACGCGGTGATGTCGCCTTCACAAACAAACGTGTATCGAGAGGGAAATCGATGCAGATAATGTTTAGAAGATTAAAAGAGCATTAATGCTGGCAACAGGAGCATCAACGCGTGGACCCAGTTTTCATTGATCTGGAACTTGAGCCGGCTCATTTCCAGTAACGTGGCTGGTGCTTTTCCTTCCCAGCATCGGTCCCGGGTGGGGGGTTCCCTAAATACAGAGCAGAAAATTAGTAATCACATCTGCATGCACAGTTATGCCTGTATAATTCTGGATCTCTGCTTTTCCAGTCCCCCTGAATGCCTCTGCATCCAGCAGTAAACTTTGGAGAGAGCTGAGGTGCTGAGTGGGCATGGATTCCCCATGGAGCGGGGAAGACCTTTGCAAATTACCTTTCCCTTCAGGAAATCGATTATTTTAATTTCCTTTTATTACCACGTGTGAATATGCGGCCCTATTGCCTCARTGCTTCCTTCTCCCCGTTCACTCGCTTGCTTAAATCCCTTTGAGCATGGGGAAAAGGCTGCAAGTATTGCAGATTTTTAAAACCGAAAAACCCCACCAGCTATTTGCCAGATAGTCCTAGAAATTTTTCCCGAATGGGACGAAAATCTGCTGTCCTTGGAGGGAAATCCCCGGCAGTGGCAGGGTAGGTGTGCTTACTATTACTTATTATTATAGAAGATATATAGTGTTGCTTATTTTATTCTGTTTGAATCTAATTAAATATTACTATTTCTGTGTTTGTTGTCTCTGCTTGGGGGGTCTTTAAGACTCCTCCATCAGGGGACGGTGCAGGGGGTTTCTGTGCAGGAAGGTGAGGGCAGGACCCGCTATGAACGGGCGGTTCCGTGCGYGCTCTGGAGCTCCGAGCACCCTTTTGGGGTCCCCGTGCTCGTGTCTCGCTGCGGCTGCAGCCGGCAAAGCTCCGAGTGCCCTCCCGGGGACACAGCGCTGCCCCCGGGGCAGGACGGGGACTCAAAACCCATCAGCCCGGGACCGCGTCCCCAAAATGGGCTGGTGTCCCCGCTCCTGCCGTGTCCCTCCGGGAAAGCGGGACTGCCCTTGGAGCGGGGGGACCGGGGCTCTGGGCCCTCTTTCCCCGCCGCGGGAAGGTTTCAGGAAAACCCTGACGGCCCCGGTGGCCTGTCCCTAAATTTCTGCGGGGTCAGAAGAGCGCTCCGCCGCCTGTTTACTTTCCCTAGCGCAGGATGGCTTTCTCGGTGATTAAACACTCTCGTACCAAAACACCATCAATGATTCATTTGTGCAAAGCGGCCCGAGCCCCGCTCCGTGCTCCGAGSCGTCAGTACCACGGAGAGCGGCGGAGAGGCGTGAGAGCAGAGGCGGAGGGAAGGGAGGAGGAACAGGGCGGGAGCAGGAGCGAGATGAGACCGCCGGGGCTGCGGTGGCCGCGGACTGTCCCTGTCCCTGTCCCTGTCCCTGTCCCTGTCCCTGTCCCTGTCCCTGTCCCTGTCCCTGTCCCTGTCCCTGTCCCTGTCCCTGTCCCGGCGAGCCGTGGGTGACAGTACCGGGAGTGGGTGGTGGCAGTGTCACATCCCTGCACCCCCAAATGTCCCGCCAAGGAGAGCGGTCTCACAGCGATGGGTGCGCCGTGGGGCCGCTCCTCTGCCTCTTTGTGCCCTGCCAAACGCTCCTTGCCTGGCTTTGGAGACTATTCTGCATCTCCAGCTAAGGATTAAGGCATGATAACATCTAGATCAAGCACGTTATAACCATTTCTTAGCGTTGAATTAAATATACAGGTACATAAAGGTTCTTTGAAAGGTGCTTAGTAGCTTGAAATATTGGTGCTCTCTTCAGCTATAGATTAGTGGTTGTGTTTGAACAATCCATGCGGTAAATTGTGGTGCCGGCTGATAAATTATATTTCTCATGTACCAACTTTCTGAAACAATATCCTGCTCCAGCTCTTTGTTCCACATCATTTCTGAAGGCTCTTCTGCCGCCCAGAAATCTGAATCCTGTTTTTGTGAAGYAAATGAGTTTTATCAGTTTCTTGATTATTTGATAAAGTTAAATCTGAGCACATTTGTGATTAAATGCTTTTCTATATTTCCCCTTTGCTTTTAAAAAAAACCAATTAACTGATCACCATTAGTTCCTCATTTCAAAGGTGTTCTTCACTATTTCCTTATAAGATATTTTTACCCAGCATCTCTTTCTTTTCCTGTATCTCTTGCCCATCACTATTTGAACTGAAATATCCCGAACTCAAGTATTCCTCTGCAGCTGAAAACTGCCTCARTTTATTTGTGGTGAGGAATGCATAAAGGGGAGAACATGGTGTTGGTTTTCCCTCACTCTTCGCGGGGGCATTTTGGCTCTGCACTGTGGCCCCGGGTGCTCATCCTTAGTGCTCTTCCCTGGTTTTATTCACAAAAGCTCATCCTGGATGTCGCTGCCATGCAGCAGCTGCAGGGGTTTCTCCTTCCCTTCCAATTAGCCATCCCTGGGAGGTGACAAGCTTCCTGCAGGAACCAGCACGGCTGTGCCGAGCTGCYGAGCACTAAAGGCTGCAGACTCCTCTCATCAGAGCAGCTCCCCTGGAGCTGCCTTCAGAATGGAAACGGGCTCTGCAGGTGTGTGCCSAATGGATCTCAGAGGGAAAGCAGAGCTGAAAAGAACTGCAGATATCACTCCTTCAGGAATCTCCTGAGGGGGKTTTTACCTAGGCGATCTCTTCCAGGGCTTCCAGGTACAAAAAAAGCCTTAATGTCTGGCCTTAATCTCACTTTTTGTCTTTTAAATCCTTTGCTTCTCATCTTATCCCCACTAGACACAGCAAAAAAGAGCACTCCCTTCCTTGTGATAGCAATCTGTTTGTATTTAAGGCTCCCCTCTTGTCTCCTGTCTTCTGTGGAAAAAGCCTGTCACACTTGGGCAATGAATATGCAGGGAAAGCACTGTATCCAACGGGACAGATAATACATCTCCTTTTCCAAGGTAAAAGATTTTGTATCCAGCTCTATCAATCTTACAGACTTTTGCATAAAAGGCTCTCTGATTTATAGAGGGTTTTGCACGCACAAATCATACCAAACAGACTAATCTCAAATGGGTTTGGTGATAACATCAGCCAGACAACTCACTGATGGCAGAGAGAAATGCAATCAAAAAAAAGAAATTGGAGTGTTTTGGGGTTGTTTGGGGTTTTTGAGCTATAAAATCAAACTGCTCCATTGTGAAAAAAGGGACTCAAACCACTGGTAAATGCTGCACAGAGGAATTATTAGACAAGCGATAGAAGCTGGCAGGTTCCCAAAACACAAATTGTCTCCGAGACCAAAATATCTCTCAGTAAGCAGGGAACATATTTATGAGCAGCAGTGATTTTCCAGCAGTTCTCATCCCCTCGTAATGGGATGGGAGCACGGGGGCTGTGCCGAGGCATTAAGCTTTGGCAAGCAGCACTCGGCTGCAGGAGGTGCAGGAAGAGCCGGCCGAATTCTTCCTCAGAGGCCTTCCACACTTTTTTCTCCCCTGGGCACAGCCCCTCTCCCCTCCCTTCTTCACTCCACCTCTCTGGGGCTCTCCTGCTGAAGCTGAGCTGTCCCAAGCCCCTGGGAAGAAGGGAATGGGGCCTGTGGAGGAGCAGGGCTGCTCTTGCTTTGTGTGCTCAACCCAAGTGTGAGGAGAGCTCAGAGAGCAGCATGGATCTGGCTTGCACAGATAAGCTGGCAGAGCTTTGCTCCTGTCTTCCACCCTAACAGGCAGTAAAAGGAAATACTCATGTCCTGCTTTCTTCCTGAAAGAAATTCAGAATTCCTGAAAGCAGGAGCACGCAGCAAGGATTCACTACATCTGTCCTTCCCCTTGCATATAGATCTCAGGCTGTTATTCAGCTCTTGCTTTCCCACCTCAGGTTTAAATTCCCAGCCCTTTCTTGGAAAAGGTGCCTGAAGCCCTTTCCTTTCTCCACAGGAGAGGGTCTCAGCTGTGTTCTGGTATTTGCAGGGATGTGCTGGCACATCGTTTGGAGATKCTGCTCCAACAGGCAGAGCACGTGGCGTGGGGAAGGCCTGGCTTCATCCCTGTGCTCTGACCAGGGGAATATAAATCCTTGTCACTGAAAAGGGTTATAATTCAGCTGGAAGCTATTTGGGGATTCAAAAGKGAGACTCTCCAGAACAAGAGGAAGCATAAATCTCCCAGATGTTAGACATGAAGGACTCTCAGAGTGCAGCTGGAAAGATCCAGAGCTGTGCTGTGCTGGAAGAGGCCTCTGTCAGAAATCCTGTGCTGGGTGGGTGCTGCAGCACTGCAGCCAGACAGCAGAATTTACAGCCCAATTCCAGCCATCCAGCAGATTTACAGGAGACTGGACACAAACAGCCTGAGAGCTGTGGTGTGCCAGGAAGAAACATAAATGTCCCCAAAACCATTCATCTTCTGTTCTCAGGGAGCTGCRGGATGCAGAGCCTGGAGAGGGGTGGCGTTCCCTGGGGACTGTGACAGCACTGAAAGGGAAAAATCAGGTAGGGTAGCAAGAAAACATCTTCCTGGCTGGAAACAGCCAGGCTGTGAGCTTCTCTTTTGGAGCACTGCAGGAATCCCTGGCTCTCCAAACAGGGAACACCTCACCATTATMATGGATTCTTCTCTGGGAGAACAGAATTAACTGGGTTTTTCTGGATAAATGCCATCAAGGGCATTCCTAAGGCTCCTAAAATTCGGAGTTTGGTGTGTGTGCAGCAGCTGGGATGAGCAGCACTGGCTGCTCACCCCGACAATGTGATTATTTGCATCTTCATTCCGATTGCTCCTTGTTCCATAATGATTTTGTACACAGCGGAGTACTTAACCTAATTTGTATTGATCTCAATCGCTCTCATTCGTGCATACTTAATTCCGAGAGGTAATCAAATTGATTTCTGAGGCCTAGTTTTTAAGAGATCGTAGTAACAGGGATATACAAGGGGTTGCTTTAAGTGAGTCACAGCACAAGAAAAACATTTTAAATCTTTGGAAGCATTTTGATGGTCATTTCATTGTGTTCAATATTACCAGTGTAATTACATTTCCCTCACATTGAGTCCTCTCCAAAATCGAATTGAGGAGCAGTTTTAGTTCCATCAGACAGATAACTGGGTTTGGGCAGCTCTGCAGCCACACAAACCACATAGGTGGGATCAGTGTTYACTGCTTGTCCTTAGGAACAATGGAAGTGAGGACTTACTGCTGGATTTGTGGCTGTTTGCAGTGCCTGGGTTGGTGAGATTCCTCTCTCACGGGGAAGAAAATAGAAAATCAGAATGGAGGAGCATCTTTAGTCCAGTGCAGAAGAAAAAGGAAGCTTTTTTTTTTTTTTTTCCCCAGTTATGCCTTTCAGGTCTCGCCGGTTGTCCATTTTCTTCCATAGGATATGTTCAGGTTTAACCGCAGCTAATCAGTCAAATTGTGCTTAGAATCCAGATGGTCTCTTCCCTTCCCTCCGCTGTTAAAACCTTTCTCTTTCTTCCGGGAAGATCACTTGATTTTATTAGAGTGCTCACCCCCTTCTTCTCTGCTGAGAGAAGCTCGTCCRGCACAGCGTTTGCCTTTGAGGGGCCTTTTCAAGAGCAAACTCAACAGTTCAAGGAAAGTATTTACTGAATGCATCGAAAAGCACATAGCTCTGCATTATTTATTATCAGATACCAATAACTGTAAAACGCAGAGTATCTCAGGACATAAATTAGTGATGGTAGGAAACACTCCACTCGTCCCAGTGTCCCGGAACCGATTAGAGGCTGCRGCAAGGATTCTGGTGCTCATCACATCCCCAGCACTGGGGACCTCACTGCATGGATTCCAAATACGTGGTGAAATAAATGCAGCCTAAAATCTGCTTTTTCAAACTACTCCACTTTCCTGCAGAAATGCTGTGAGATCCTGCCCCTGGCGCAGGAGGAGGCAGTCAGTGCCACACTGGCTGAGCCAGGCTCCACACAGCTCCAGCCCTGACTGGGTTAATTACAGACATTTCCACGGTCTGACTTTTACTTTTGGGCCAGCTTCATTTCACATTCCAGACCTGCAGAATTATTTAACAGGACTGCTTAAAACCCTCCCACTTATCAATTTCTCTGGGCTCATTTTGTCCCAGCACATTACCTAACCATGTCAACATATGGATTTTCTCCCCGTGCCCGATGCAGACGGCCTGGCCAGGCTATTTTTAAGTGTGGGTGTGCTCCGGCAGCGGTATTGGTTTCAGCACTTGCTGTTCTCTCCCTGCTAATAAATACAGAGCAGCTATTAATACGGCTGGGTTTTAGGATCCATTAGCATCGTTCAGCACGGCAGCGATGCTCTGGCACTGCTGCCCTGCCTGACCTGAGCTCTGATGGGCACTTCTGCCTGGTTTCACCTTAGGGACACACCCCAGGGAGGTGACAGGTGATGGGAGCCGTGCCCTGGGGTGGTGGCACTGCAGGAGGAGCAGGGAAGGACCAGGTGAGCTGGTGCCTGAGCCCTACGCTGGATGGCCAGGCAGGACCGTGGTGCTTTTTCCCTTTGGTGGTCACACAAAGTTGCTGCCACCAGAGCTTTGACTGGGGTTTGCTTTGGGCTGTTTAAAGGGATGAAACTTAGTACCAGTGTTATTGCTGGCCACTGAGAGGTACTGGGCATGTGAGAGTAAATGCAGCCTGCTGGATTCCTCTGGGAGCCCCTGGCTTCCATGTGCCAGAGGGTGCTGGCTCAGCTGGTGACACGCGTGCCCATCGTGTGACGGTGCCCATGATCGGGTCTGTGGGCACTACTGTGACACTTTGTCTCTGCCTCCCCTTCCCAGCCTGCAAACGCAAAGAGCAAGAGCCCAACAAAGAGCGCAACAACTCCCAGAAGAAATCCCGSCTGGTTTTCACGGACCTCCAGCGCCGAACGCTTTTTGCCATCTTCAAGGAGAACAAGCGTCCCTCCAAAGAAATGCAGATCACCATCTCCCAGCAGCTGGGCCTGGAGCTCACCACCGTCAGCAAYTTCTTCATGAACGCCCGCCGGCGCAGCCTGGAGAAGTGGCAGGACGACCTGAGCTCCGGGGGCTCCTCCTCGGCCCCCAGCACCTGCACCAAGGCGTGAGGGGCRCGGCACGGCCCAGAGAGCGGTGTCACAGCAGGGCCCCGAGCTGGTGACTTAAAGCACAATCCCCCCGCAGCAACCCCAGCGCAGCCGTTCCCGAGGACGTTCCTACGGCTTCTCATCGCTCTAAGCAGGCGCAGGTCCCACGTTAACCTCTCTCCACACAATACTATGCTCAGGACACGCCAASAAGTCTGAAATGTAGGGGAGTTGTTCTTGAGGCAAGTTTCTCCTGAGCCCCAGGTTTCCGTGGCTGATGGGAGCCGCTGCCAGCCCGGCCGTGCCCGGTGCCTACYGTGTGCTGGCCACACCACCCCGCAGCCACCCGACAACGGAGCACAAAGCACTAAAAACCCAAGACCCTGTTTTTAAACTCAGGCATGGTTTTGTTAAGTGTTTTAGGGGAACAAAAAATCAGATTTGAGGKTTTTTTTTGTTTGGTTTTTTAGTTTAATTTAAACAGCTTGTTCTTGGATGAGAAAAGTTCAGTTCTCTTGAGCTCAAAGTATCAAGCACAAAGCCGGTAGCCACAGCGGCTGCACATGCAGCCTGACATCCCGGGAACACCGTGGAGACCGCACGAGCCTCAAGCACAGCTGGCAGTTCCTCACAAGCTCTGTGTTTGTATCTAATGCACACTCAGGACGTGGATGGAACTGCTGCAGTTCACACAGCAAACACAATGTTTTGGAAGATCTAGGTTTATTTACCTTATTGCATCCTTTTTAGTTTCCGGGAATCTGGTTTCTCTTCAGCAACAGCTGCRTTGCTGAAACCTTTTTAAGGTTCCATGTATTTTTTTCAGTATTTTGTGGTACTTTCAAGCAGGAAAAGAAACAGAATCAAGCCCTTCAGATGCCACAGACCATTTCAGATGTGCCGCTTTTAGCTCTATCGCATCCCTAAGTTCCTTTTCCTCGCTGGCTCCCCGAGCCRGCAGGAACACAGCACACCAAAGAGACAGGATTTCTGCAAGCCAAAGATGTTTATAACTTGCCATTTCTCTCGGTCATGGCTGGTGTGGGTGGTTGGCTGGCGCTGGGGAAGCCTGGCAAGCTCCGAGCCCTCTCTCCAGCTCCGTGCAGCCCTGGCCCRGCGCGATGGCCGCTGGCTGGTGACCGGCCCGGCGCCGCTGTGCTCTGCTAGAGACACTTGAGACTTTTTTTATGTACTACTTAATTGAAACCAAAGAAACATTTTCTGCACCTACTTCATCTGCAAYGAACTGTTCCATTGAAAGATAAAATAAAAATTAAAAAAAAAACAAAAAAAAACAAGGAAGCATGTCAGGAAGCAAACAAGTACCACACTGTGTTCTACAGACATCTTGGACGTTTTCGGAAGCAGATCTCAAAGAAAGGGTTGACAAGAACGAGAACAAAGCAAAGCCAGTAYGATTGCTGCTTCATTTGACAACTCAAGTCATCTAAAAGTTGAAGATTGTCTTTAATTTGTGCCTATGCAGTTTTTTCAAAATAACAAGGAACAGAGCAACCAAAACCTCAACAGCTACAATACCAAAGATGAGGATTCTCACTACTTGTGTTTCAGTTAGTTTCTCCTCTTGCACGACTAATGCACATAACCCCACTGATCTCTGGACAGGTAACCACTCGTGAGTCTTTGAGCAACCAAAAGGGTGGGTTTATTTATGTTTTCCCTGTTTTTGCCCCCACGGCGTCTCTCCAAGAGCTGCTCCAAGTGCAAGATGTTGGGATACTACGCTGGGACATCTCCTCCCTCCAGGAAACACTTGCGGGTTGGGTGTGACTTGGGGGTYGTTCTCCTGTGTGTGTGGAGCTGTGAACAGCCACCCTCCTGTGCATGACATGGGTCGAGTGACCCCCACCCTTCTTTCTCCTCCCCAGGGATAAATCTTGCAATATGTGCATTCCCATCTGAGTGCTGAGCAGCACCACAGCCCGGCTCCAAAGCTCCACCTGAACCAAACCCAGGTACTCAGCAGTTCTTGGGGCAGTCAGGAGTTGGCTCTGACATATCAGTCTTGGAATGTTGCTTGATCCAGGCCGTGATGGTCCAAATCGTGGCATGTCCAAATTTATTCTCAGAGCCAGAGTGCAGCTTGCTGCTCTCTGCCTTTAAAACAAAAGCTTCTTTTTGACTGCTTCACACAACTGCAGTCATTTCCCAAAGACTATTCTTAAATTAAAAAAAAAAACAAATCAAGAAGCCTCATCTGTTCAGGACAGGAAAAGTTTCTGGAAAGCAAATTCATCATCCTCACTGCTGAATTGACATCATGAGCCTGCTCTGGGAATCAGAGCATCCTTCAGCAGAGATTTTCAGGCAGATTCAAAAGAGATTTGGAGAATCCTCATAGCCAGATATGGAAAAAAGCTGCCAAAAAATTATTGCGGTCTGGGCTGATGTGTTCTGAGGGCTCCTCGCCCAAATGTCAGATATTTGAGTGTGGAGTTTGGAGCTGGGCTGTGGAGCAGGGCCCAGCTGMAGTGGTGTGGTCATGCTGCTGTTTCATTCTCACCCACGTGTCCATCAAACCTGTCCCTCCATGGCATTGCCCTCATGCTGGAAGTGTCACCCTGCATTCTGCAGTGACAGGGGATGACACAGGACTGGTGGGAACCCCGGTGTTCATTCCTCACCTCCCCATCCTGCAGGGCCAGGGCTGGAAAATGCATTTTATCCCACAGGGAATGAGCCCCAGGCATTCTCTGAGCACATGCTTGGAGTGGGACACTCACCTGAGGGACATCCAGAGCCCYACAGCTCTGCCTTTTTCCTTCTTCAGAGGCAGAGGGGAGCTGACCACAGCTTCTGGGGAAGCCTGGGAGCAAAATCTGGGCTTTTTATTTCTGCTCAGAGCTCATCAATCGCCCCCACAAAGGCAGTTTAGATCAGGTATTGAATTACTTCAAATTTCTCCTCAGTGAAATTCTCTCCAAATTGTGCAAGTGTTTGTTATGCAACATTATAGTCAGATAGCAACACACACAAGGCTTCTTGTGTGGGCTTCTTGTGGGCTGGGGCCTCAAATCTATCATTTTCACCCAAAAATCCCGCTGCATTTTTTATCCCTGCATCTCTCATGCCCCATGTGATGTCTTCCATTTCACAGTCCACTCTCGTTGGCTTTTCTGTAGCAGCTCCCTCAGATGAGGAATGTCAAAGCCAGGCCACGCTGGAGATATTTGTCTGTGTGGGCAGAGACACACAGCAAACCCAAATTGTCCTGTTCCATCTCCACACCCCCGTTGATGAATCTCTAAACCTGTGTCATGTAATYTGTTATTTTATTTATTGTGCTGCGAAAAGACTCGTGTGTACAGAGGGTATCCCAGCATCTCCCACACCAGGAACTTGGAGTCCCAAGCTCGGGCAGAGCCGAGATGAATTCAACTTTCACCAAACCTTGGATATCGCTGGGTGTCCCGTGCAGGAACAAAGAATGTGCTCGCTGAACTTCGGTTGCAAAGCTTTATTGTGGATCTCTCTTACCTACAGCTGAATCCAAAGAAGGACTCAACCAGCAAACCTCGCTCAGCCCYGGGGGAGGAAGGGATCCCCTCTCTCCTCCCCAAGGAAGGCATGGGAACGACACRGAATTGAAAGAGCGTGCTGGCTTCGGACGTGGCCGATGCTTCCCTTGCTTGGCACAGTTCCCAAGGATTTTTAAAACAGGGGAAACTTTCTACTTGGCCTCCTTTATATTTATTATGGGGAATTTTTATTGTTTGAATTTTTTAAAAAGGCAAAGCTTAAAATGGTTTTATTTTTTTTTTCCAGACACTTGTGGGTTTTAACCCGATATATTATCTATGGATAATGTAATTTATTTAATTTAGTCTTAGGGCAGGTCCTGAGATCTCAGTTCAGTCTGAATCCCATAGCGTTTTGGTTCAGCTTTTGAATTCAGTGGGAGYTGTGCCTGAATGCAGACTGCAGGGTCAGGCTCCGATGTTAGCTCTTTGTATCTATTTAATTCAGCCATTTCTGAATTCATTTGGGAGTCATTTTGCYTGTTTATCCATAGGACTGTTGTAGAAGCCTGTTAGGAAATACACTTAAGAGTTGCTATTGCTTTGTAGAGCAGCCAGGTTCTGCCAGACAGGGAAAAACAACTCATTCCGTAAAACAGGGATCTAGTTTGAATTCCTTCTTCTAATTAATTTTAAATATCAAAGTTTATATTATTTAAGTTAATCTCTTCCCACCTGATTAGAAAGCACGATGTACCTTTATTATGGCATGTAAAGCCTTCGTAATATAACTTATTTATTTAACTTATTCATCATCACCCGGGCATGCCCTTTTAGAGTTCTTATTTTTTATTTAGAATTATCTATAAAGCACTACAGCTGATTTCCTATTAGAACAGCAGAGTGAACTTTGAGGACAAGCAATGAATATTCAACCAAAAACTGTGCATTCAGAATAATAGAAAAAAAAAAAAAAGACACTGGGATACTTTGCCTGAACTTTGTGGCTTCTTTAAACTTAAGCTGGGGGGGGAAATAATCCATACCAAGCAAAAAGAGAGAAACCCTCAAACTAGCTGCTTCCAAGAACGAACTTCTGTGTGTGGAAAAAAAGAAAAAGGAAAAAAAAAAAAGGAAAAAAGAAAAAAAAAGAAAGAAACAAACCAGAAAAAAACCCTTTCTATTTCTAGTGAGAACCAAAGAGGCTACCTCACTGACTTTTCCATTTGTAATTTTAATCGTGTTGATGATACCAAAGATACCAAAGATTTCTTTCTCTGTGCGGTCTGCATTCTGCTTGTGCTCTCCGATAACTCCCACCGTTCTCTCCTCCACCCAGAACTGTCCAGCAGAGCCCAGATTCCCAAAGAAACGCTTCCCTGGAAGCTCCAGTTGTGGTGATGCCCTTTTGTGTGCTCCTTTCTCCCTCCTGCCATCCCGAACCCTGGAGCGTGGAGCGGATTCCCAGGGCCCGGAGTGAATCGGGCTCTGGCCAAGCGCAGATTCCCCGGGGAAAAGCTCTGCCCGGGCCGCTTTGGGGTGTGTTCGCAGCAGCAATTAGCAATAATTAGCACTGCTAATTATGGTTATTCTCCTGCTCGAGCAGAGCCCAGGGCTCCTGGGGAGAGGAGATCTCCTGCCCTGCCTGCCTCGCACARATCCAGGGCTGCTCCCTCCTCCTCACCTTTGGTTGTTGTTTACAATTCCAGTTTGCAGATAAAAATCAATTCATTACTTTTCTCAAGTTAGCAATGAAGCGAGGCTACATTAAGCTCCATTAGCATCACGTTGCTGAGTGATTACTTCCAAGTTGGTTGGYTGGTTGGTTGGGGAATTAGCGGTGCCCTTTGGCACTGGGTTTGGAGCCCGTTTTTCCCGTTTAAAGGATGAAGCAATGCTCCGAGGAGCCGAATCCAGCCCTGGGCACTGCTCGCTCCCCT